CCTGCCCCCTCCTTGCACACACTTCCCCACCCCCTCTCCCCTACAAAGAGGACCTGTCACTTATATTCTATTATATAGGGGACTATTGGTCATCTATGTGATAGCAATAAAATCATAAGTTAAAAGAAAAAATACACATTAAAGTAAAAATTAAATAATACAAAAAAAAAAATTTGAGCCTCCCCTCCCCCACATACGCAGACATTTCAGTTTTAATTTTGGGCCACACGCATTCTGAATTTTCGGCATCAGAATTTTAATTTTGGTGCCCCACTACCCAGAAGATTTTTTTATTAAATGTAGCTGTATATTTCTTGCTACTACCATACCATAACTTACCTCCAAAGAACAACTCAAAATAAATTCTCCTGCTCCTGAACGATACCACACATATGTATGTTAGTTTTTTGTACCCGTAGTATGGCCCAGAAACAATACGGCAAATTTTGCTTTTTTTTTTATCCTGCCTAAAATACACTGACACTAACTGACACTGATACTAATTAAGAAAAAAATCCTGACCAAAAAACTGACCCTGACCTTTGACCTGACCTTTGACCCTGACCTTGACCCAAACCTTGATCTAGAAATTTTTTTTTTAAATGATCACAAATATTATTTTATTTTTTTATTATTTACACAAGTCTTTTTTTTTTTTTTAGAATGTATCTCTCTCCTCAATTCAGAGAGAGAAAACAAGCGGATGGACTTTACAGAGACTGATCACTATGATAGCCAATTAGAGGCTATCACAGCGATCAGGTGACCTGGAATCGGAAGTTCTGGGTCTCGATCATTACCACAGGACCCTGGGCTCTTGGTGAGACCCCGGTCTCTGTGCTGTGAGTGAGCTGTGTGACATGCTCCCATAACAAAGACGGGCAGTTGCGGACTGACCATTTGGAAACTCGGGCACTTCCCGAGGGCCCGGGGTCAGTAGGGGGCCCATGAGATGCCCCTGGTACCTTTTTCATAGGCTTTTTTGAATTTGGGCAAGGACACAGGGGCCCCATGATCCCCTATTGCCCGGGGGCCCCATGAGTTGTCAGTCCGCCCCTGAAGACGGGAACAGAAATATGCGGCCCCACGGAAAAAAAGCCCAATACAGTCGCCGTGAAGGGGTTAATCGGTTTACGGCTGGTATACACCAATGCACCAAATTGTATGGTACTGCGGTACCATGCAATTTTTGTGCCTGCAGATGCACTGCATTTGCTCTCTGCATATGGGGTGTGATTACCGTTACATTGTCACTGCATGCAGACCTCAAGGGTTATGCATTAGACTGCTGTGCAGGAAACATCTGGAAAGCTCCTTTCCCGCACTGTGTTCTGGTGTGAACCAGCCCTTAAACTTTGAGTACATTTCCCCATATGTATAAAGCAGTCACCTCCAAACTGCGGCCTGGGGGCCAGATGTGGGCCTTTGCTTGCTTTTATCCGGCCTTTGGGGCATTATTCCCCCCACTCTCAGCAACAGTGGGGCCTAACTCCTGACACTAACACTAGTGATGGAGCACTGTTCTTCCCACTGACACCAGTGATGGGTTATTTTTCCTCTTCCTGACACCAATGATGGGGCACTATTCCTCCCACTGACACCAACAATGAGGCACTAATATCAGTGCTTGAGCATTATTCCTCCCACTGGGCTCCATTCACAAAACAGTATTTTGCTCTTTCAAAATTTACAGAGAAATACCTCATAGCGATTTTCAAAATGTTTTTGGGCAGTCACAAAAAAACGCTACTAAAATAAGGCATGCAGTATTTATCTCATGAAACCATGCAGCATTTTTACATAGTTAGTCTGGCTAAAAAAAGACAAAAGTCCATCCAGTTCAATAAAAAAAAAAAAGTTATAATCCTATACCCACAGTTGATTTAGAGGAAGGCAAAAAACCCAGCAAAGCATGATCCAATTTGCTCCTGCAGGGGAAAAATTCCTTCCTGTTCCCCTGAGAGGCAATCAGATATTCCCTGGATCAACTTTACCTATAAATGTTAGTATCCAGTTATATTCTGTGTATTAGGAAAGAATCCAGGCCTTTTTTAAAGCAATCCACTGAGCTGGCAAGAACCAACTCTTGAGGGAGTCTATTCCACATTTTCACAGCTCTCACTGTGAAGAAACCTTTCCGTGTTTGGACATTAAATCTCTTTTCCTCCAGACGTTAAAGAGTGCCCCCTTGTCCTCTGTGATGACCTCAGGGTGAATAGCTCTACACCGAGTTCACTATATGAACCACTGATGTATTTATACATGTTGATCATATCCCCCCTTAATCTCCTCTTCTCAAGAGAGAATAAATTCAATTCCTCTAATCTTTCCTCATAGCTGATCTCCTCCATGCCTCTTATCAGTTTGGTTGCCCTTCTCTCTACTTTCTCTATTTCCCCAATGTTCTTTTTGTGAATTGGTGCCCAAAACTGAACTGCATATTCCAGATGAGGTCTTACTAATGATTTGTACAGGGGTAAAATGATATCTCTCTCTCTGGAGTCTATACCTCTTTTAATACAAGAGAGGATTTTGCTCGCTTTAGAAACCGCAGCTTGGCATTGCATGCCATTATTAAGCTTGTGATCTACCAGAACTCCCAGATCCATCTCCACCATTGATTCCCCCAGTTGTACCCCCCTAGTATGTATGATGCATGCATATTCTTAGCCCCCAAGTACATAACCTTACATTTATCAACATTAAACCTCATTTGCCACATAGTTGCCCAATTAAACAGGGCATTGAGGTCAGCTTGTAAATTGGAGACATCCTGTAAGGACATTATTCCACTGTACAGCTTGGTGTCATCTGCAAAGACTGAAATGGGATTTTTAATCCCAGAACCTATATCGTTTATAAATATATTACAAAGTAAGGGTCCCAACACTGAACCTTGGGGTACACCACTGACAACCCTAGACCATTCAGAGTATGAATCATTAACCACTACTCTCTCTCTCTCTCTTATCGCATGCAATATCTAGTGGAATGGATACATTGCAGAAGGATTAGAACCTCTGTCAGCCTTTTTGCTAATAAAGAGGTAATATGGTTTAAACCGTAGAAATATGGCAATTAACTAAGTCAGTTTGGTCCCTGTAGCAGATGTATTAATAAAAAAGGAAAAAGGTGACTCGAATACCAATCAAATGGAAGTTGCTTTCACAGGACAGCTGTGGTGTATCAAAAACAACTAAGTTAAATGTAGTAAATACAAAATATCCTTCTAAATGTCAAATATTGAATGAAAATAGTATAAAAAATCAGACACATATATAAATACCCTTCTTCCACAACGTTGTCTTTTTATATTTGGAAGAAGGGTATTTATGATTATTACAAGTACTTATATAGCACTATCAATTTATGCAGCGCTTCACATGTGTGCCTATCTATCTATCTATCTATCTATCTATCTATCTATCTATCTCTATCTATCTAGTAAGTTCACATCAGTCCCTAACCCTCAAGTGCTGTACAATCGAAGGTACCTAACTCACATTCATACATATCCATACTAGGGCCAATTTAGACAGGATCTAATTAACCTACCATCATGTCTTTGGAGGGTGGGAGGAAACCAGAGTACCTGAGGAAACCCACGCAGGCACAGGGATGAGAACATGCAAACTCCAGGCAGGTGGTGCCATGGTTGAGTTTCAAACCAACGACCCTAGTACTGCCAGGCGGAAGTGCTAACCATTTAGCCACTGTGCTGTCCATTTTATATATATGTGTGTGATTTTTTTTCAGTATTATTTTCTTTCAATATTTGACATTTAGAAATATATTTTGTATTTACATAAAGTATAACTAAAGAAAATTTTTTTGTTTTGTTTCATAGAGTGAGAAGAGGCATTAGAACACCTACTAGGTTTTTATTGCAGTCTGTGCCCCCATTAGGGAGATTCACCCTATTTGTCCTGTTTACTATTATGATTGAAAGTGAAATGACAAGAAAATCCTAAATTTGGTGTTTTCCCCAGAAAAGTAATAGAGGGGACATCTTCCAAAGGGAAAACAGATGGTAAAAAATAAACTGACAGGGGTTATAACCTTTCATTACTCTATCCAATATGAAAAAAAGTGTTGTCTATAGTTAACTTTAATGAAGCCTTTCTCAATCCTCTTCAAAAGAGGAACCTTTCAAATATTTTTCCAGTCTCAGGAACCCCTGCTAAAAATGACTATATCAACTCATGATCAGGGCCAGTGCTACCACTAGCCAAACTAGTGCTACCACTAGCCAAACTAGGCAGGGCACACTGCCGCCTAGGGGCGCCTGGGCTCAGCACAGGCCGCACTCTACGTGGGACACCGCCACGTCATGAATGATCCTCCAGCTGAGAGGAGGAAAAAAGGACAGAGGAAGATGCCAGGTTTCTGGGGCCAGTGTAGCAGCTGAGCTGCCGATCCTTCAAGTGTTCCTCTCAGACTCAGTCCCTTACTGCAAGCCAGCAGGCGGCTGCTGATCATTGTGGAGTTCCAGCCCTTCTCTTCCCATTCATCAGTGGAGGCAGGACTGCACCTGTGGAGGAAGGTAATGTCTAACTCTGATGTGTCGTGTCTGTGTGAGTGTGACCCAGACGACAGGACATCCATCACATGTGCAATGTGCCAGCGAGTGATGACATCATCACGATCCCACAGCCTGCGCTTCTAGTGCCTGTTGGGCCTGCTGATCTGTGTCAGTGTTGGTAGTGCTGTGTTGTGTCGGACCTGTCACTGTGTGGGATTGCTCAGTTTAGGTGTTCTCTGTGTGTGTGGGCTGGGCTGCCTGCTGTCACAGCGTTTTATCTCACCTAATTGCCTGTGGAATTCCAGCCTGGGATCTGTTAGAGTGTTGATCCACCGTCCTCCACTCACTGCAACTATCACCCTGCTGCTGCCAGCCACAGATACAGTCCTTCTGTGACAGATTTTGTCTTTAACCACCTCCCGCCAGCCATCGGAGGCAAGGTGGTTCTCTCGTTCTGGGAGGACGTCATAGGACGTCCTCCAATTCTCACCGCGCAGCGAGGGACACAGTGGATCACTGATCACGGAAAGAGCCGAAAATGTCGGCTGGTCATGTGATCAGCTGTGTCCAATCACAGCTGATCACATGTAAACAGGGAAATGCTGGTTATCTGCATTTCTTTCCTCTCGAGCTGTCACTCTGACAGCTCGTGAGGAGAGGAGAGTCGGTAATCGGCTTTCTGTGGAGGGGACATGTACACTGATTATCAGGGCACTGATGATCAGTGTGCCCTGATGATCAGTGTAGCCCTAGCAGTGCCGCCTGTCAGTGTCCACCAGTGCCTTGTGTCAGTACTCATCAGTGCCTCGTGCCAGTGCCCATCAGTGCCACATCAATGCCACATATCAGTGCTATCAGTGCACATCAATGCCACATATCAGTGCCCATCTGAGTTGCCTTTCAGTGTCACCCATCGGTGCCAGTCAGTGCCACCTATCAATGCCAATCAGTGCCACCTATCAGTGCTGCCAGTCAGTGCCACCCATCAGTGCCAGTCAGTACCGCCAATCAGTGCCAGTCAGTGCCGCCTATCAGTGCATGCCGCTTAACAGTGCCAGTCAGTCTATCAGTGCCACCTGTCAGTGCCATATATCAGTGCTGCCTTTCAGTGCCCATGCAGTGATGCCTGTCAATGCCCATCAGTACCACCTACCAGTGCCTCCTCATCAGTGCCCATCACTGCACCTATCAGTGCCCATCACTGCAGCCTCATTCAGCGCATATCAGTGAAGGAGAAAAATTCACTTATTTACAATATTTTATAACAAAAACTAAGAAAAAACTTTTTTTTTTCAAAATTTTCAGGGGTTTTTGGTTTGTTTAAGAAAAAATAAAAAACCCCAGAGGTGATTAAATACACCCAAAATAAAGCTCTATCTGTCACAAAAAAATTATAAAAATTTCATATGGGTACAGTGTGCATGACCGCGCAATTGTCATTCAAAGTGTGACAGCGCTGAAAGCTGGAAATTGGCCTGGGCAGGAAGGGGGTATAAGTGCCCTGTAGGCTGGTGGTTAATATTTGTGCTGGTGGCACCTTATGGCACTTATTTTTGCAAATTAAAAGAAATATAGCAATTTCATGTTTTGCTTGATTTAATATTTTCTACTATTTTTAAAAACAGAACTTGATAAATGAGTGGGGAGCTCTGCTGACTTCCATCATCCAATCATGTGCAAGCAAAAATGCTTTTTTTTCCTAACATGTGATTGGGTATATTTTATAACGTGAAGCTTTATCACATGTACTAAGCTCTGGAGCAAAAACAGTATATTTGCCTTAAAGTAGAACTATAGGCAAAACTTTTTTTTTGGGATAGAGTAAGGGAGGGTTATAACCCCTTTCAGTTTTTTTTTATTTTTTGCCATCTGTGTCCCATTGGAAGATGCCCCCCTCTATTTTGGGAATAACCCCAAACCCCCCACAAATTTTGGATTCTCTTTTCATTTCAGTTTCAATGATAATGGTAAACAGGGCAAATAGGAGGGTGAATCTCCCTAAAGGGGACACAGACATCAATAAAAACCTGACAGGTGTTCTATTCTACCTCCACTCTATCCAAAAGTGAAAAAAAAATCCTTTAGTTTTCTTTAAAGTGTTACCAAACACACGACAGTAAACTCAGTCTGTATATGCAGTAAAGCATGCTTGTTATTCTCACTGTGGAACCTAAGGGGTTAATCCCCTGCTTTGTGTAAAAAGAGTGTTTGATCCTGTCTTCTCTGATCCTCCCCTTCTTCTGCTGTCCCTAACCCATCTGATGATAGTACAGAGCCCTAGGAGGCACTCTGCACATGCTCAGATTGGTGTGCATTGCTAGAGTTTTTTGTTTCTTTGGGTGGGTGCATGTGATCAGCATAGTCTGTATATGCAGTAAACCATGCTTGTTATTCTCACTGTGGAACCTAAGGGGTTAATCCTCTGCTTTGTGTAAAAAGAGTGTTTGATCCTGTCTTCTCTGATCCTCCTCTTCTTCTGCTGTCCCTAACCCTTCTGATGATAGTACAGAGCCCTAGGAGGCACTCTGCACATGCTCAGTTTGGTGTGCATTGCTAGAGAGTTTTTTGTTTTTTTGGGTGGGTGCATGTGATCAGTACAGTCTGTATATGCAGTAAACCATGCTTGTTATTCTCACTGTGAAAACCTAAGGGGTTAATCCTCTGCATTGTGTAAAAAGAATGTTTGATCCTGTCTTCTCTGATCCTCCTCTTCTTCTGCTGTCCCTAATCCATCTGATGATAATACAGAGCTCTAGGAAGCACTCTGCACATGCTCAGTTTGGTGTGCATTGCTAGAGCTTTTTTTGTTTCTTTGGGTGGGTGCATGTGATCAGCACAGGGCCAATTAGCACTGTCCAGACAGAGGTTTAGGGGTCCTGCATTTGGGGAGAATGAAAACTCCTCCTACAAGCTTTAACCAGTGCTCTGCTGGACACTGATAGAAGTCATAAGACTGCTATATACTGCTGATGAGAAAAGGTATTTAGCAGTTTGTATTTACTAAAATAATTGCACTTGCATGTTCTGTGTACTGTGGGAGACCAGATATAGTGATTGCAGGGTCCTGGGTTTAGTAACACTTCAAGAAAATCAACCCCAGTGATTTCCATGTTTAGGTTTCTATGCATTACTGCTGACAGAACTGATCCAAAAATGCTGAAATTAATCAAAATTGCCTATTCTGTTTTTACATTTCTGAAATACTGCATGCCTGGGCCATTACTTAATTACCGCATGCATTTAATTATTTATTTTCTTCTGTGAATTGAGTTCAATGCCTTTTCGAGTGTTTTGAGCATTTTGCGGCAAACAACGCAGAACGGTATAGTGAATTGTCAGTTTCAGGATCACATGTCATATTTAGGCAAAATGTGTCTGGACACCTACATATCGTATGCCAGTTACTTTTTTGAATAGTGCCCACTGACACCAATGATGGAGCACTATGCCTCCCTCTGATACCAACAATGGATTGCTATTCCCTCCACTGATACCTACAATGTGGCACAATTCTTTCTACTGCCACCAATGATGGAGCACTATTCCTCCTGCTGACACCAACAATGGACTAATACCTACAATGTACCACTATTCTTTCCACTGACACCAATGATGGGACACTATTCCTCCTCCTAATACCAAAGAGGGGACGCTGTTTACTCCTACTGACACCAGGGCATTTTCTACTCCCTCTGGTCACAGTCTACCCCCCCCACTAAAGTTTGAAGGACAAGAAAGTTTTAGAAAGTTCAGAAAGTTTGGAGACCCCTGTTATATAGGGTACATTGGCAACTCTCACACATACTGTAGGTGTCACTGAACTCTTATGTGAACCAGAGCTGCATCAATGTTCCTAATAATATCGCTAAAACCTTATTTTTACACACAAGGTTCACAGACTATAACAAACTTGTGGCCATGAAAGCTTTATAAATGAACATGACAATGATGCTTCCATCCTTTCAGTGAGAAAAATTAAAGTGAGAACTCCCCCAAGGCCACGGACTCCGATAGTCGTGTTTATCTTTGTTTCCGCTGTTGCTACATCACTGACGCTGCACACCAGGACCTGCCAGTGATTTAACCAGATGGATGATACCAGCCTTGCTTTGTATTCACTATGAAATCCTCCTACACATAACTGCATATTGCTGTGATGCAGATTATTGATCTTACAATGAAAGAAGCCGTGTTAGAGGAAACATTTACTGAGAGAGATATGGAGGCTGCCATTGCTGACCTCCTACTGAAGGTAAAAGCTGCCTGGCTGTAGTTTTTCCTGCATCACTCAACTGGGGTAAGCATGCAACCAGTGAAGTACTAAAACTCCTGATCTGCATACATGTTCCTGGGCACTCAGAATGTAGCTAATGCAGGCCACATTACTTATGTCCCCTGCAGAGAGCTCCGCTATTATATTTGACATGAAAAAGTATTGCGGTTGCAACAATGTATCTGTTTGTATCCATTTTGGATACAGATGGTTTTATTCGGATACAAATAGATACATTGTTGCAACCGCAATACTTTTCATATAAAATATAATAGTGGACTGGAATTCTTCTTCTTTTTCTTCTTCTTTTTCTTCTTCTTTTTCCTCCTCTTCTTTTTCTTCTTCTTTTTCTTCTTCCTGCAGGTCACGGCTCATATGCAGATTTTTTATTGGTAAAACGATCGGCCGATTTGCCCATCAATGCCGGGAAAATCGGCCGATTGGCAAAATTGGCTGATTTTTTTCCAACTTTACCGATAAAGAAAATGTGCCAAAACCCCAAAAAATGGCCGACCAATTAACCCACTAACGATGCAAAAATCGGCCGATTTTCGACCCGTCTATGGCCTGCATTAGTCATTGAATCACCCTGACAACCAGGTAACTAGAAGTTTCAGAAGACATCATTACCGAGGAATGGAAGTCATCAGTAGCAGGCTCTATATTACTACCTCATGGACATCACAGCACCAGGTTCACTGTAAGTCCTCATGCACACTGGACGTTTTTACAGCGCCTGTTTTTGGCTTTTGACATTTTATTCTACAGCTAGTAAAACCCTCCAGCTTATTATCCTATGTGTCCATGCACACATAGACTGTAATCAATGTTTTTTGGCTGGAAAAAAAAAACAGGACTAGTGGGTTTCTAAAGGAGTTTTTTTTTGCTGTAAAAATGCTCAAACTCTGAAAAACGTGGCAAAATGCCACAAACCAGTGTTTTGGACTTTTTTTGACCAGTAAAAAAAACCCCTAAAAACTCAAATGTGGAAGAACACAGGAAAAAGTGGCAAAATGCAGCTAAACACTAATTCAAGAATGCTAAAAAAAGCTGAAAAACTCGTTTTGACCCCTGGTTCACATCTATGCGGCCATGCGGGCAGTGTTTTGCACGGGCACAAGAGCCCATTCATTTGAATGGACTCCCGTGCCCATGACACGCAAGGAAGAAGTCCCTGCATTTCGTTAGAAAACGCAGCTTGCACAAGAACCTCGGTTCCCAGTACGGTTGCGTTTTCCAGTGTGGGCGGCGTGCCATTAGAACTAATGGCACCCGCCCGCGAGTCCGCATTTCTCTGTGGGGGTGGTGCGGCTACACGGATTTTCATGCGGGTCCGCAGTGGCACCACCTGCACAGATGTGAACCTAGGGTTAGCGTGACTTTACACAGCTAACGTGACCAGCGTTATCAAACTGTCTCGTGTGCATGAGGGCTGAAGCCTAACTCCTCATTTATTTTCATGTTTGGGCCAAGCTGGCCTAAACAAACGCTCTCCTTTACTAACAGACATGGCGGCTGCCAGCGCTGTGTAACTGAATGTAGCATCGACAGCAGTATACAGCACTGTGTAACTGAATGTAACATCGGCAGCAGTATACAGCACTGTGTAACTGAATGTAGCATCGGCAGCAGTATACAGCACTGTGTAACTGAATGTAGCATCGGCAGCAGTATACAGCACTGTGTAACTGAATGTAGCAT